AGACAGAAATGTGACAACCTTTTGGGTTTACATATGTGTGACTTAACACCCATACTACCTGAGACTTCAGCTGAGCTGTTACTATAAAGCAAATACAATTTTGACATGGCAATAATATCTGGAAAATAAGGAAAAAAGTCCCCTTCTATCCACCAGATATCAAGGATGTCATGAGGATCTATTGATTATCATAGAAGTGTTTCCAAATTTCAAACAGATGTTAATCACTGGGATTCAGGAATAGAAAAAAATGGAAATTTCTAAAATTATAAGTTATTTTGTATTTTTCATACCATTTTATTTACATGTTCTTAAAATATAGGGAGTAAGAATAAACAGTGAATAGTTTTTCTGTGTTAGAATTATGCTAAAAGTTCCAAGGATTTCTTTTTGTTTAAAAAAGATAATAAAAGCATGGTTTATTATTACTATGAATCAGTATATTGAACGAGATTAAGTATTTCAATTATATATAATAATGATTGCTGTTATAGATTGTGTGTGCGAGCGTGGAATTAAGAATTGAATCGCCAGCCATGTGCTTGCTAGGCAAATGCTTCACTACTGAGCTGTATCCCCAGCACCAAGCCTCTCCCCCCACCTTTTTTTGGTACTGGGGACTTAATCCAGGGGCATTTTACCACTGAAGTACATCACCAGCCCTTTCTATTTTTTATTTTTAGACAGAGTTTTGCTAAATTGCTGAAAGTGGCCTCAAACTTGTGATCCTCCTGTTTTAGCTTTCCAAGTAGCTGAAACCTGCCACCATACCTGGCCTGTTATAGCTACTTTATAATAAAAATCATTGAAAGAAGGAAGCATTGATGCAAACTAAATTCTAAAAAATATTTTTAAGTGGAAAATAAGACTAATATTTTAAGTTATTCTGTCAATGGTAATTTAAGACATAAAATAATCACTTTATTTGATATCTTTACTTTGTGATAAATATCCAGAGGAGATAAAATTTCTTATTCTTGCATTTGATGTTGGTTCAGTTGTTAAAAGTGCTTCCAAAAGCATTATCATATTGAACATAGGGCATATGTTGCTTTATATAAACTGACTAACTTTTTTTTTCTTTCATACAACTGAGTGTTTTATTGGTTTCTTTTTTTAATTTGTGGAATTATTTTATTAGTTAGGCTTTGGTTAATATGGTCTAGTTCTTCTCAAAAAGGAAATAGTATTCACATATACTGATACTCATAATATATATATAT